TAGGGTACAATAAGCAGCAGCACCCCCCCCCCCAAGGAGGATTCATTCTGTTGCCTTTGACACCAAAGTAGCATCCAAGCTGCTCCCTCCGTGCCACCGTGACACCAGAACATCTGGGCCGGCAGATGTGCGCTGGAGCTGGCTCAGCATCCACCAGGGCTGTGAATGCCATGTGTTGGTGCATGTCACCCTGCAAATGTTGTGCCTGGGCCTGTTTTTCCTTCTAAAATAAGGCTAATAAGACTCACACTCGCACGTAACAACTCTGTTTTGTTACCCACAGGATATTTAATGAAAGGGAGAAAGAAAACGAGCGTAGCATACATTAAACTGTTTGCAGTGCGTGATTTCACTTCATAACAGAGTGATTTGGCTAAGCCACTTCCTTTTTTCCCTTTCCCAAAGTTATTCCTTGACTGTTCCTTGGGGCTTGCTTGGAGGGGTTGCGATCCTGGAAGACCAAAGGTTCCAAGGGGCACTTTTGCAGAAGGGCAAAAGGGCCCAAGTCTCAGCATTTCCTATAGAAAGGGTTGTTGAGCATCACAAAGCACGGACATGGCATTTCTCTTTCTTAAAATACTCTCTAATGCTCTAAAAATACACAATTTGCCAGTAAAATTGCCACTGCTGTAATGCTACCTGAATGCGTGGCTGGCTCCAGCTTCTCAGCAGTTTTCCAGGACCGATGTGTCCTGTAGTTTACTTTCTGCTGACAAGGGAGCCATGCTCAGTCCAATCTGCACTAACACCTTGAAGGCTATTGACACCAACGCAACCCTTGCGGTTGCCAGCAGCTTGGGTGCGTTGGGGACCTGTTTGCAGCCAGCTTGGCTTTCCCGGTGGAAGAGCCCTTGACTGAGCAATGCTATCTCCCCCATTTCCTCCTTTGCAAAGAACTCTGGTCTCTGCAGAGGGAAAATGCTGTATAGCAACATCTAGGTTATCAATGAAGCAGGTTGTGTATTTGGTGGGACAACTTGGGAGAACTTCTCACTTGGAAACCAGCTGAATCCCTGTGGGATCCAGCGTGAAGAAGGAGAAGGCGAAGAGGAAAACCCGCGATATGCTGGCTCTGCACCTCTGTCACCCTGAGGAAGGAGGCCGAGAGCAAACAAGCCCTGGCAAGAAGCCCTTGCCTGCTCCCTGCCTCGTGGCCAGCTCCCACCCCCGGATGACTTTCACTCATCCATCAAGAAAAGTGGCTTGGATGCATTTTCCATGGGTGGCGCAACTGGGATCAAAGAAGCCCTCCCGCAGCCAGCCCTGCCCAGGGCCACCTCTGCGACCAGCCTCAACCTTGGCCCGCTACTCGCCCAGACTGGAGAGCTGGATACATGACTATTCCTTTGCTTCTCCTTTTCTTAAAAATTAGGAGTTGCTGGCCCAGAAAAGCTTGCACATCAGTGAATGGAAGTGCATGGTGCTGGGCAGAGTGGCAGAAATTTCCCTATGGAAAAGAAGCTTGGAGGGCTCTGCACTTATTTCTGGCATCCTTGCAACCCCATATGTTGCCTTAATGCTGATTGAGGACAGAAAGGCCTATTCTGAGGCTCCTGCTCAGCTGATAGGAGGTTCCTGATGGGGAAACACTGCAGGTGCAAGCAATAGACTCCTCTGCATGAATAGGGCTGGGAGAGAGGGGGAGCAGGGTGGTGCAAAGGGCTTAGTGCAGGGGTGATGAGCTGTATCTTCTGGCCTCCAGCTTCTAAGACTTATGCTCAGAGACCACCCTGAGATGGGGCTGGGTAAGAGGCAGCTGAGAAAGTCTTGTGTTTGTAAGCAATTCAATTGCCTAACCACAGAGGTGATATCTTTCTTTAAAGGGGAAGACTCTAAGCTGTTTGCACCATGGCTTTTGGGTCCTCTTTGGAAGTCCCCAATTTCTTTCTGAGTGGTGTGAAGTGCTTTCTATCCACCAACAACCCTTGCAGAAGAGCTGCTGACCCCTGGCTCTCCTAAAATTCATCTTTCAGGCTAAAACTTCATTTCCCAGGATGCATTTTGGGCTGGGGGCCTCCAATCAGGACCAAGGGAGTCTTGAAATACGCTCCCTGTGAGGAAGGCATTGTCCTTAGGGAGCTAGCTGAGGTCTCATTCCACCCTCAGCAGCACCGAGGGAGCCACTCAGCCAGCATGAGGTGAGTGTGGAGGTCTACTAGCAGCTGCAATTACTTATGGAAGGGCTGGTAAAACACAAAGGTTTTCAGTCTGTTTTCTTTAAAAAGTTTGCAGGGCCTGTCCTTTTGCTTCATGGCTTGTGCTTTTATTCTTGAAAGTTGCTTGTTTTCCTAAGAGGGTGAAGTTCTTTCTCAGAGAGCACCTAGCTCTTGTCTCAGATGTAACTTTATTGCTTGTATCTCCTGTATCAAATTTCCAAGCAGAAGCAATGATTTTTGGGGGGAGGTCTCGGGAATCCCTATATATGTAGTTGTGGACCTCAGGATTGAGGCTCAAACAACCCCCTGGCAGAGCTGCCTATGAGAGCAAAACCTCGGTGCTATTGTCTGCATCTTGCTTGGAGTTCTCCTTGGGGATGGCTGAATTAGCCCTGTGCCTGATCATGAAGACCCATGGCGGTCTCGAGGGTGAAGGGTATGAAGACACAGGTGGAGATAAAGAACAGCATCAGTCAGTGGGTACCATTTGCTGTTCTGAGTGGGATGTGGGCAGGGGTGCTTGGGATCTGCAAGCTTTATGTAATCCTGCTTGAAGTGAATGCATGATATCTCTGTAGGGCAGCTCATCCATAGAATAGGCAGCTGTGAGCTCTCTGGTATAGATGCTCCAAATTTCCTTTTAGGGATATTTTTTGGTCCTGCTAGACATAAAGGTTTGGCAATGTGGTTTCACAGCTCATCTTGGCAGTATTTGCAGCTTTGCCATAAGCTGGGTGATGCTGGTTGGCCATGGTGATGATGAGATGACTGACTTTACTCATGGAATGACATTTTGCCAGGAAACGCAAGAACGAGTCAGAGAAGGGACAGGATGTGCTGAAGATGCCCAGAAAAAAGGCTGTGAAAGAGGGGCAGGAGGAAACTCCATGCACGGATCAGGTAGGAGGCATCCTACTGGCCACCATCCCTATGTGGGCTTTGGAGGTGACCCTGGAGCCCATCCCATTGGGCAAAAAAGCAACAAGTTTTGTGCCCTGCATGTCTGTGGCACAAACTTTCTTTCTGCTAAAACCATTTCTTCCTCCTGGCTTGTGTGGAGCCCTCTGCATCAAAACAGAAGAAGAGAGCATCCAGAATGAAGGGGAAGCCGCTGCAGGAAAACATCATCAGCAGGTAGCTTTTCACAGAAAAGAAATGAGTGGG